TCTCGCCAGGCTTGCACAGAAATTTGCCTTGAGTTATTTGGGAGCCTCGATGTGTTCTCTGCCTGCCGGAATGTGCCTGCGAGCATCCAGATGTTCTATAGGTTGCGTAGAGACCAAATGTTCACGGTGGTAATCAGATTTACCACAGGTGGATTCGTCTGCTGCAAATAGGGTCCGGTAAATATGCGACCAGCGAATCTCAACCGTATTCAGTGAGCGCTTACTCAATCCGAATGCCAGTGTACTTCGGTACGCACTCAGAGCACTGGACTTCACCAGTTGGCTGGTGTCTGTGCATTCACAGCTTCTTCCCGCGCATCCGTCATAACATACGCGCAGCTCAGCACATACAATTGTATGGTCAGTGTCCACACATGTGCTCCAAATCGAGCAACAGAACTGGACGCGGACTCTCCAGCGGCAACCGATCGCGATGTGATCGATTTGCTTCCATGGCTACTCCAAGGTTAGTAGGTCCCATGACATCGTCCGGCGGGTGCTGTGTCGGGACTAAGTACTCACGAGAAATAGGCAGGCATCTTCACACCAATGAGGTAACCGCTCACTGTTATTATGGAACTCTAAACCGCGTTGGCCGCCCAAATACAGCTCATCAGTGGACGTCTTCTCAACTTGAGCATTCAGATCACCAACCATCACTACAGTATCTGTTACTTCTGTGACGAAGGAGCTCATTCAGTTGGTGATGGAAGTCGTCTATAACCGAGTCAGCGCTTCAGTTTGCGGGCGCGTAGGCGGCAATGATAAACAAGCACCTATTGGCCGCGCGTAACTTCGATGCCTTAAACGAGCCAGCCAACCTGACGGCCCACATCCGGCTACTGATTAGGATCCAGTCTAACATGGCAATTTCAGACCAGAAGCTGAGTGCCTTACCCAAACCGGCTTGACCGGCATTCGAAGCTGCATCATCTTCGAATATATGCATTGTGAGCGTACCTTCATTATCATCTTAATTTAATCGTAGAGTGCGCACGGAGTTCGAGTCTTGTAGGCAGATTTCCGATAAGCAGTGGCTATCGATCGAAAGGGTCTCTATATTTTGGGTAAGTGCTGCATGTTGACCGATTTGTGACAAATTGCCCACACTGCGTTAAGGACTCACAATGATCCTTCGTCATGGTACGTCACCTCTCGGTGTCACTAGCGCAGAACTGTTTGGCAAAGTCTACCCTCGTAGTTGTAAAGCAACCGCTTGTCTCCTCATTGGTCTGTGTTCAACTGGGCAGATGTTCGTTCAAATGTACAAACTGAGCCTCGACTGGCTAGCCGAACAACCTCGTGGTGCCAGCTGGGTGATTCGGTTTTACCCCCTTCTAGCAAATACTTCAGCGGCAGTGTTTCAGGACATGGTGGGTTTTCGCGTGGTAAGCGTTCTCCCTATAAAATGCCACAAATGTCCTTTTAACAACATTGTGACGTGGCGGTTGTGACTCGCCACCAAGTAAAGTCACCCATTGCTTATCCGGACAACCGCTTCAAGTCTACAGCCATCAAGCATCCATTTAACACTGGCGACACGTTCAAGCACGATCAAAAGGGCAGAAAAACATTTACAAATTCCATAAACACAGCTAAACACGCCAACATGCACACTTACATACATTCATAGATCAACCTATGCGACAATCCCATTGTTCCATTGTAGATTAACTGGTCACATTTTGTATTCTTAACATGAGCATGCCTGTGCAGGCGTGCCTCGCTTAGTCGAGCATAAACATTTTATTTATTTATATATTTACGGTTGATCGGATATCCCGAGCAATTTATAACACGACACGCGCACGCAAAACCCAAGGAGAAACCATCAACTGACGTCTCTAAGAAAAAGAGAGCATTAGCCAGCGCACGAATTTAGTCGATAAATCATTGCATGATACATATATTTACAGATTTTCAATGTAATGCTCAGAGTTGTCAGCGAAGTTGTTGTTCGAAGTGCCCACTGGCGTTTTGCATACAGTGTAGCTTTCGCCTGATGGTGTTTGCTAGCACTTTCTCTAAAGTCCCAACTGTGATCCCGCGGCATTCGTGCAAAATATTCTGCTTCAGTTCCTTAAGAGTTTGACTTCGTTTTGCCAACTCGCTGTTTCAAGTAACCCCAGAGGAAGAAATCCAATGGGTTTAAGTCTGGGAACCGAGCAGGCCACTCCATAGATTCTCCCCTCCCGAACAAACGGCAAGGAAACGTCTGGTTGAGAAAATCCCGCACCGTTTGTGCATAGTGTGAAGGTGTGCCATTTTGTTGCAACCAAACGGTACTTAATAACGCAACGGCTTCCACTTCCGGAATGACACAATTTTGCAGTACTTTCTTTTACGAGGATAGTAGAAAGCGTAAGACAACCTACCGATCACATTACCGGACGAGAAAAATGGTCCCACAATTCTTTGGCCAGTTAACCCATTCCATACCATGAGCTTTGCGCCGTGTTGTTTAGGTGAAGTGCTACACCGGCATGGATTACAGGTTGCCCAAATTTGTTGCTTCTCCGCACCGTGCAAACGGAAAACAACCTTATCGGTAAAAAGAATTTAATAGAAGTCCATGTCATTCGAAAATCTGCGGCAAAAATCACGCCGCTTCTCCGAATCACATGGGTTTAAGACCTGCACTTGACAAGTGCTATACTTCCGGAATTTCCTTTCCTGCAAAATCCTATGCACAGCATACCTGGTGGTGTCGCAATGCTGGGAGAGTTTACGAATGCTCAGATCGCTGCTTCTGGATACCTCACGAATAACCACACAAGCAGAAAAGTCATCCATGGTGATGCGAGACCGCCCTGTCTTTTTGGAGTCGCACAAGCCCCCAGTTTTCTCAAATTTTCTCACCATCCTACGTACCGTCCGTTGATGGGCCGCGTGTTACTGTGGATAGGGTTGCCGAGCTGTTTGTTCAAGTTTACACCCACACTCACCATACAGATGAACAAGAATCACTCGCTGACTAACATGCACGTAACGCGATTCCGATTGAGGTTAACTTGGTGACAGTGATACATGCTCGTGATCAGTCACCCAGCCAGTGATCCAATAACCAAATGGCAAGCATTTCACCACTTCGCCTAACCATAGCTTGACTGCTGTGTGTGTGTTTATTTGGTGATCAGCCTCGCCCTACACTGGTGAAGTCAGTGCTCATTGCCCTCACACTTACCTCTGTTAGTGGTGTGCCTGTCAGTCCGTAGTTGTATCTGAGTCGGGCTATCGTGTGCTTTGGAAAATGAGGTCGGCTGAGTATCCGCACCAGTGACCGTCAGCCGGTGCAGTTTGCAGTCGAGTCCCCAGTTCACATGCGGCCCGACAAAAGGGGCAGAGAGAACTGTGACACAGAGCTTACACGCAGTCTCATGGACGCTTGCGCTCCATCTATCGTGCCGATTAGACGGTTTCAGTTTAGAGCGCACACGTCGGGTTTCCTTCAGGCGCACATAGACGCGTCAAACAGGGATGTCGCTGGATCTATATTCTCCGACTGCCTGTAGTGGTCTAGTCTACTTGCGGTCGCGGTTAGTGGAGCTTTTATGCAAATTGGATAATCGACTAACATGCATCTGTGTCAAGTTTAGATACCTCTGTGTACCTGTGGGGGCTAGCTTCTATTGCGTGAAGTGGCGATTTTTGTTTATGTTATTAGTTGCGCCTAGCGAATGGGTTTCTCCTTTATTACTTTTAGGGACGCACTGTAATGGTCTAACTAACATTGCTTTCGTCCACCAAGTGGGATTGCAATCCTGAGTCGCTTCTCTGTTGACAAAATTTGTGATAGCGGCTTTTTCTTTTACCTTACATGCTGCCGATGCACCGCTAGGCCAACGTACTGACCACACTCTTCTCGCTCTATACCACAAAGATTGATGCCTAGGTACAATAGCGCTACTCAAGTCTGGTTGAACTCTTGCGGCTGTATCCTCTCTCTCTCAGGCAGCACCGGATATGAACCTTTATGTGGAATACCTGTAACTGAATGCCGACTCGTCTCTATGTGACATACACTGCGCTCGAGATTGCTCCCTCCATGCCAACCGCGATATGCGGTTGTGGCAAGTTCACCTTGATTGAGCAAGCTTTCCATCTCTACTTTAAATGCTAGTGTAATGTACGTTTAGTGAGTTTTTGCGTTTTTGAATCCCTCCTGACTAAATGCTCACATGTAAAAACTAAGAAAATTTCGGTTGTACCTTTGTTAAAACCAAAATGCTTTATTATTCCAAAGTTGCTGTGTTTGTATACCTAATTGATCATGCCTTCACCGTTGTGCCTCGTTCTGTCGAGAAGATACCCTTTATTAACTTATTTATCTATTTGTTATCAGATCTTTGTGAAACAGATTGACAGAACACTGTTTGTAATTGTGTTCTGCTTGAACTTGTGAACTTTGTCCATCATTAAACACTATTGTCATTCTTCCACATCATCCTCGAGGCCTGTGCACCGTGAGGGCGTGAGTGATGTACCTGTCTATTTCCCATCGATGTATTTATCTGATCGTTTACCGCTAACGCGGCATTCAGGTGCTTGATCGCTCAGACAGCTAGCATACTAGGTCTTCACCCATTGCCTCCTTCCCAATAAATGCACCTCGCCAATGAATAGTTGCAGGTAACCCAATTTATCATCATGTAATTTCCCTGATACCGCAGGGGATTAACATGATACTGGTGTCAGTTCCTTTATGCTGCTTTTGGAATTGTGTTTGCTACTTTTGGAACTCTCTTTCTGCGCACAAGTCTGCGACTGGGATCTTAAGATTGCAGACCATTCAGCATACTTGCTTCTCTTAGGTTTGCTCCTCGTGTCCGCAAATGAACTCTATTCAGATAGCGCTCTATGCCGTTACAGACAGGTGTTCTGCAATCTTACCATGCAATAACGGTATTCTAGCATCCCCTGACTGTTCCCTATTCAGAGTATATCCAGTCATCATCTCCCATTCATACTAACAAGGAGCTGTTGCCTACTGTCGTTTTCAGATGATGAGGTAATGGTTCTAGCCAAGCGGTTGGAGAGGACTTGCCGTCTTAGACTATCGTTTCAGTTGAAGGAGGACGCTGAGGCATTCTACTGCGCTCTCAGTCGGTTTGCCAGTTGCAAAGAGCTCTCAAATGAACGCACACAGCCACAAATGGATTCTGTTGAAGAACAGCTGAATAACATGCTCTCATCTACTGCAGCTGGCCTACCCCCACCCAGCTGGACGACTGAGTGGCCTACTGCAAGTTTGGAAGGTTTGGTGCGACTTTGTCTACAGGATCCCAACTTTCCTGGATTCGTGCGCCAAGTGGACGCTGCGATGAAAAATCTGACTAATTCTCAAGTCCCTCTTTTTGGACCTCGTTAAACTTGAACCAAACGGACTTGACTGTTTGTTCCATCAGTTCTGATAGGGTTGCACATTTGTTTCAAGTCATTCAAATTGGTTTCCTTGCTGATATTTACTGGTAGGCAGAACGAGACTGATAAGTGCGGAACTGTTGCATAGAGATGAAATGAAGGTGGAACGATTTTCCGACTGAAAGTCTAGCCTAGGTGGTGATCATTAAAGTCGAAAAAACGCAGGACGTAAACCTGGGATGCATTTAGAAGCACCCAGTGTAGCCAATGTGTGCATGTTTTTCCCATCTGTCATTCGGTGTCTGAGCTAGGCTGGTTGGCAAACGTTCACAAACTGTTTTGATTCACTTACGTGGTCGGAGAATGTGCCCTGCTGCGCGAATGTTATGATGACGCCGAGTAGGATCAACTGGGTGTGCCGTAGGTACAGCTGGTCGATCCGGATCACCAATAGGCTGCATTGCAAAGCATCCGTAGGTAACGGATTTGTGTTACCAAGGTACAGACTACAAAGTAACTAATCTTTTGTGACGTGCTGTGCTTCGAAGTCCTTTCACTATTAAGTCGATATACAGAAATTTTCGCATGAAATGTCGAGCAAACAAAATACAATCGGCAATAAAACCGTGGACTGTGCATTACATTCAGTTTCGGTCTAGGGTCTGGCTCCCTCATCTACGCACTTTTGGTTCTACTGTAATCTACTGTTAGCCGCCTGAGAAAAGTTTTGCGCCGACAAACTGACTGATCCGAAATGGATGACAGGCTGTCCTCTCCCCTGTTGGCATGGCGCTTCACCGGATTGGTGGTACGCCATCACTTCACCCCGATCCAGTATCAAAATGGCTACGGTCCTACAAGGAGATCCACGCACCGCTGCGTACTAAGGCCCCGGAAATCAAATCTATATCAGCTAGGTTTCAGTACTACTATACGGACGAAAAATCTTCGCGTTGATCGCAAGTACTAGGGCTTGCAGATGAGCTCGAGGACTTCGATGAACACTGCTGTTGCCGACCCGTCAAATATCCCCGCAAAAACGCGTCACAAACTCCAGCGTAATGGCTGTGGAAAGCGCGGTCCAATTCCTCCCCACAACGTAGCAGTTTCCAACCACTCCGAGACGCGGCACAACTGCGCACAGGTTGCCAATGTTTTCTGCAAACTACCACCCCGTCGCGGTAGCTATTTTTACTAATTTAATGGCCCATAGCGTTGGCTATGATTCACCCTTTGTTGGTCGTAAAAGAGCCTTCAAAGGACCACTTGTCTTGTTTCCTCTTCGCCATAGTTAGGACTCGGTTCGGTCATGTGATTTTTGTGTGTGTCGATAGCCGGGCAGCGTTCGCGTCTAAGCCACTAGCGCGCGTCTGTCGTAACCACCTCTCGCGTGCGTAGCCTTGCCCTTTACAAGGGCTCAGCGTCTACCCGAATACGTGCAGCTAAGAACGCTCTCACGCTCGCTCGATTTTCTGTCTCAGCAGCACGTACCTCGGACTAAGCTAACGCTATCACGTCAGCGCAAATCCGTTCGATCGGCCAAAGTCCCAAGCCATTATCGGAGACGCGTTCAAACCGTGCCAGAGACAATTGTATCACGCGTCTCTCAATTTTAACAAGCAGTTAGGTTTCGTACTACCGTACGTTTGATAAGAGTCTTTCGATTTTGCTCAGTATCCGTAGGTCAGCCGCGGAGGTGAGGGTGAGATTGGAGCGCACTAATTTGCCGACCCACCAATGGCATGTAAGTCTACTGTATTTACTCACCCACGCATGTCTGGGGGTGTGAATACGACGTGAGGACGCATTGCGGTGCATGTGTCCTTGAAATATGTTAATTACCCTCGGCGAGTTGGACACCGGTCAGTTCAGATTGGGTCGATGCCGACGTTTTTGGCTGGTGGTTTGCAACATCTCGACAGCAGTGCATAATGCACTGGCTACCGTGTTCAAATGTTGGTGGCGCATCGACAGTTGCTTAATGTTATCCCAGCAAATGATAAAAGGGTTAGTGACAACGCTGTTGTAGACTGAATGTTACCTTCACATAAACCACCTTAGCAAAATAAGAATTCGTAACAATTAGACGGTGAAAATATGAGATGCTACTTCTGCATAAATGAGTCCGGAAAAGCTGTCGTTGACAGACTACTCCCGTCACAGTCTTGATAGCAATTGCAGGAACCAAGTGGGGTGCACGCTGTCTAATTTGTTTAACAGTGACCGTGACGGTGTAACATGAAAGGCTGACAGTGTCGCTCAGTCTCTCAGGAAAACGTAGGTGTATATCAAACGAAATGATCGTTACATGCTGCCGTGTATGCCAATTAAGAGACTACTCGCTGCACGTGTTTGTGGAGAAGGACTGCCGATGAAATCGGCAGCAGTCCTTGCAACCAATTTTTTAGACGCAATTGGTTGTCCTATCTGCGAGAAGTGGGTCTTTCAAGCGCACTAGTGTAGAGCGGAGCGTTTGGCCTTTCTGGAAAATTAAGCTTATGTTTTCTTTATTTAAGACCCTCTGGATGGCCTCTGAAGTTCCATCTTTATAAGGAATATCTACCGTCCCAATCCACTCGGTAGTACACCGTGGTTGAGGATTTAAAATCCGCTGCAACGGGTATCCGCCTCGGGTATCCACTACCAAGCAATTAGTTCATTGCTTCTTTCCGCGCGGCCTTCCTATCTTCTTCCTCTGTGCACAGAGTCTGGGCTCTGTGAAACAGTGATGAGACGATTCCAGAATACACATGCTTTGGGCGACCTGAACTATAGTAGAATACACCATCTGTCTCCGTCGGCTTACGATATATCTTTGTTTTTGGACTACCCCCATTCCTGTGAACTAAGCAGTCAAGGAATGGCAATGTTCCACTGCCAGATTCCAATTCCATAGTGAAATGTCTGGTCTCCGCTTTCCAAAGGTTAAACAGCTGATCACAAGCGTCCCCATCCTAGCGTACCATGATCCATTACTTTCCTTGATATCCAGTGTGACAGTAGCCGGTTCGGCATCGGTGCCGTGCCAATGCAAAACGGAAAGCCCATTGATTTCCGCAGCCGAACGCTAACGGAGTCCGAACGTCGGTATAGTCAAATCGAAAAGGAAAGTATCGCGCTGATGTATGCTGTGAAGCGTGTTACTGAATAGACATTCGGCCGCCGAACTGTCTACCTGCTTTCGGTATTTATTTATTACCTCGAATTGGCAATCACTTAAAACGTCCTAATGTTTGCCGACGCCATCAAGTGTTGGCGTAATCTTTAGGTAAATGCCGACCAGCAACTGCTTCAGATTGATCTGGACACGGTACATCGCTAGCCATTTTACAATTTACTACATTTCAAAGTGATTAAAGGCAAAATCATCTCCATAAGGCACAACACCAGTTACTCATACAGCCTCAGAACTAGGTACTGCAGTAATCTTCCATCGAACTTGATCCTTGTGTGTTGGTTCAAGATGAATCGGGTTGCTCCAGGAAGTCCGAAAAGGCCACGTAATCTGATAATTTCCATCTGGGTCTGTTGTTGAACAAAGGGACATTTCTATTTTTGACAGACGCTTAGTGCACATGGTCACCTTCATATCGAATACGCCATTTAAGCCCGGCATCCATGGCTGAATAACGCCTTAATGTACTGTGGCATATTCAAGGTCGGAATTCCTAGCCCCTGGCGATATCGCTGAATAAAAGGCAATCATAAAATGACCATGATTCTGCAAGACCCACATCATGGCTGCCACTGCGGACTGCGAATCTATAATAATGCAAACTGAGGAAGTCACTCATTGTAACTAGCAGAAAGGTATGACCGTATGTAGTGTCGCAGGACTTTCATTACAATTCACGTAATTCACTCGTAGAATGCTCTTTCTGAATCGGTCGTTTCTGCAGCGACTCAAGTAATGTTTTTAAAAATCGTTGGATGACGCAATCATCCACTTACGCGATTTACATAGCACTGTATATCCATTCTCTTTTTGGAATATACCTCGGAAATATTAGTCATTACCTGCAGGTGCTGTGACACTACGCGGATTGCAGGACTAGAGCATAACAAAGGATAATTCCTATATTTTACTTAAAGTAACAGCTGTTTTTTTCGATAACCACACCAAATCACCCAACGGGAATCTTAAAGCACGACTCCTTAACCTGTGCAAATTCATGTTTCAATGTGCATACATCCTACTCCAAACTTAGAGTTCTTAGGATACCGTCATGATAATTGAAACATGGCTGACTTCTGACTACGCTTATGCCGAGATAGCACCGCCCGGCTTTACTCCCCTACAAAGCGAATAACCTAGAAAAGGAGGCAAAGTGCTCTTGCATTACCGACCTGATCTGTATAGCTATATCATCGCCAACCTAGATAGGCAATTTGTTTGTCTCCTTTGGTGTCGTCTGTACCTGAAACGTTGTGATGTGTATTTACTAACAATAATTAACCACTCTCTACTATCCACTCTTCAACTGGATCAAATCTTTGCGTCTGGTCATACAATTACGTCCTTTGATTGGGGGACTTCAGCCTTCATGCAACGAAATCTCAGCTTCGCTCTGCGAACAGTTTAAAGCGTACTTGCAAGATGTACTTGTTGATATACTGTTGTGCAAACATGTTACCGCTCCCTCGAGATACACTACTGGCGACGAAGCATAAGTTTTAGACATTGTGTTCACCAACGAGAAAATAATAATTAATGCAGTAAACATAAGTGTACCTTTTGGCCGTAGCGATCACGCGATGCTTCGCTTCCGCTTCACTTGCAACGCGAAATACGTCTGTGAAAGCAACGAGGAAGTTCCAGTTATCACCCATTACGGTATACGCTTTGACGTCGTTCATCAAAATAACGGGTCTTTTCTATCTGCCCAGCCTCTGAAATCTCCTGGAAGAAATTTGTCATTCTGTTCACTTGGCTAATTTCAATGGCGTCTGAATCCAAATTACTTCTTTCGGAGCAAGTGTGGTGATTTCTGTGGGGCCGGACACGAATGTGCATGATCAAGATGGATTCTGCCTGGCGGGTTGATAATGTACGTTTGGATGCTACATAAGTCAGCGAAATCA